AAATGGCAGATTTTATTAATTTGAAAATAAGAATTGAAGAACTAATTCTATAAAACTCGTAGAGAATTAATAACATTATTCATACTAAGAACTGAATTAAGTTAATGAATAATCAAATAATTATAAAGAGTATAAAACTTTACTAGAAATCATTCAATCAATCTATAATTTCAAGAAGAATATAACTTTAAACCATGAGGAAAAACAATTTCAAAAGACATAAATATTCAATTTACAGTTCTATATCCATTCCCTAACTAAAAAGTACAAAAAAGATTACTCAGAAGTCATGACTGATCTTCAAAAGCAAAAATAAAAAGGCTAGGAACGAGGCTCCCCACTCAATAGATGAGAGCCTATATTTATACTACTGTCTAGGTATAGGTAGGAGGTAGTCTTTACAAAATCTAGAAGTCTAGGAATACTAGTTTTTGTAGTTGACTAAGGAGGCGCGTTCGGACAACGACACTAGAGTCTAAACAGTGCTAACTTCTAGAATTTTCAATGTAACATATACGTCCAGACAGCTCTGGCCGCGTCCAGACAGTAGCACAATGTATCGTTAACTGGCACATAGACGTACATCTAGGTGTCCCAATGGTGCAGCCTTTAGAATTGCTTCTTAAAAGCTTGTGTCTAGATGATTCTAGTTGCATCTGGATGGTCATGTCTGTCTTCATCAAAGAATCAATCAAATCATAATATTCTTTGTAATCATTGCATTCGGACAATAATGGTGGCATCTAGACGGTGCTAGTTATCCAGGTCTTCTTGAGAATGGTGCTTCAACATTCTAGAAGAAGTACAGATCTTCAACTAGTATTCAGCTAACTCAAAGTCACAGCATATTCTTCCAATTGTTGTTTTGCCCTTCTAGATCTACTTTACTCTTTCTCAATCATCCAAATTACCAAGTATGATAAATATGACTCCAATTTAACTGTTTTTCCTGTTAAATATATCAACCACTAGAAACAAGAGTCAAAATAGAAAATTCAAGAATTTATCATATATTAGCTCAAATAAATATGTAATTAGCCATTTACTAAATATAATAAATCACTACTTTTGATGGCAAATCACGCTCCCTAACCTAAATATTACTAATCCCTAGTAATACCTAGATACAAAACATAAAATAAAACCTAATAAACTGAAATACAAATTCACTTTCGCAAGAATCACGATTGTATTTAGAAATATATAATAAGCCTTTAAACCCTTAAGTTATCCATAGTAGACGAGTTTTGTCACGATTGTTGATCTCTTGAATTTAACATATAACTTTAATCAAATAAAAATAACAATATATTTGATAGAAACAAGAATAAGTTAATACCAAGTGAATTTATAGAATTAAAAGCTATATAATAGTATTCACATATCTAAATCTTATTGAACCCTTCTGTGTGATTTGAAATAACTATGCATGATTAGATAATCAATAAAGAATAACTCACCCCTTTCTATGGTTAGCCTTGATGCTATCCTCACCAAAGTATACACTCAATAATAAATTCACTCAGATTATAGTGAGTATATATCCTCATAATACAATATGTGAGTTGATTTAATGTAAATCAAAGCAAATGATAACTCACATATAAAATGATAATCAATAATCCCTGTATTAATAAAAAGAACTTGGCATAATCTAACAAAAAGAAATCAATACATGGTTAGTAAAATAATCACTATCCTTCTCCTCAATCATGCAAGTCATGCATCAACAATTACACTCTTGAGATCAGATAGGTCCTTTTCTAAGATTATAGTGGGGTCTTCGGATTAGGGTTTTGAAACAAAAGGTGTTAAGGAATTCAAAATCTTATCCTAGAAAACATTAAATTACTCAACCATACTCCCAAACAAACTTTCTCTCATCAAACTTTAGAAGCACTATTCATAACACTTTCCTCATACTTTTTTCTTCTTTCCATAAATGCATACTTGCTTTCTTCTTCCCTTTTTTCATTTTTTTTCCAAGGCTAGACATTTTTTTTTTTTTTTTTTTTCACAACTCTTTTTTTTCCACAAGTAACACATCTAAGTATTCACAAATAAGTAAATTTTACATTTCTCAGTATTTCCCAACCAACTTCAAACCATTTACATAAAAATTTATAGCTCAATAGCGAGATAAACAGGGTAATGGATATCATATCAAATACTTGGCTTGCTTATTATATGTGGTATAAGAATCCAATTTAAATTCAAAAAGCTTAAATCGCGGCGTATAGGGATAAAATTACACAAGGAATAAGGTTGAAGTTCAAATTATCTCAAAAATTGTCTAAAATCATATCTCAAGAGTTTTTGATAACACATTTCCTATGCAAATAATTAAAAATCAAGCATTCATTCATAGTATTAGCATTAAGCAAAACAAGCATAATGAGGCTATTCAAAAAACAATGCTAAATAAAATTATTCTTATTGAGTAAATGTCAATTTCACTCCAAAAAGAATTGGCTCAAAACTCACAAATGACATATTATAATTCAATTCTACTTATTTGTATCAAGTTTCAAAGTAAAAATATCCACTTCTAATTTATAATTCATGCATCGTCACACGTGTACTAATAGTTTTTTAAAAAATTTCAAGAAGAATGAAATTTATATGATACTGAAGTATAACATGAAATTCTATAACAGACTAAAATATTTACAAATTCAAGTTTTCATCATATATATCCTAATTTAATTATCAATCAAGTTCTATGCACATAATTCAAGGTAACTAATAAATTTAATTTCTTTTTTTTAACTATTAAATAGAATAAAATTCAAACAAAATAGAAAGTGTTCAAAACACTAAACAATCCCACAACCCCAACCTAAATTTAACATTGTCCTAATGCAAAAATAGACGTCTTAATGCTCAATAAATATAATGAATAAAGATCAAAGAGTTAGAAATACATGGTGTTGTAATAACTCTAAAACCTAAAAACAAAAGACTCATGAAAAAAAACTATAAATTGAAACAAACAAAAAAAATAAAATAAAAATCTGGAAAAAAAAAAAACCTAACTACTAATATACACAAACACATGTGGTGAATCAATCTAGCTTCAATTCTGAAGTGTTCCCTTTACCACATTTCATCAATAACTTATGTTTATTCGGTGGTAGTACTCTCTTAACTTCCATCATCCATCCATCCATTGCAAAGCTCTGTGAATCATTTAGAACACTATCAAAGTATGTAGGCCTAGAACTTTCACCACATCCTCTACCAATAGAATTTTTTAAAAACTCTTGAAGATGAGCTAAAAATAATGATTCGACAGACTATTTTCGCACAATAGAGTCAATCATATCTACTTCATAAATTCCACTCCCATCATCATCATCACCTGTCTGCTTTCCAAGGTTAAAAATATTCAATTCAACTATCATGTTACCAAAAGAAAGCTTCATCACTCCATTCCCGTATTTAATTAATGCATTGGAGGCAGTAATGCATTATGAGGTAGCATGACATATACCAATTTCACAATGTCAATTATATCATGAGCATATAATTACATTATACAATTTTCACTAAACATGTCATAACATTTTCAATTAAACAAATATGCTACATCAACATAGACATTTGATCAAACACCCTCAAGGCATAATTGTAAACACATAGCATGTCCAATCAACACATTTCTCATGAAATTACCAAAACAAGCAATTTCTCCCAAAAACTCAATTCATGCAAAAATTAGTTTTATACATTCTTATATCATTTCTCATACTTTAGTTACACTAGAAATACATTTAGACAAAAGATTTCATCTCAAGTCATGTTATCTATTTCATATTAAACCCTAGATTGAAAATAAACCTAGTTAAGAGAAGAACCCTACCTCTTGAAGTGTGATACAAGTGGTAGAAAACTCCCAAGAACTCAAATCAAGTTTCAAGCCTTGATTTTCAAAAATCCCGTCTTTGAGACTTCATTAAAATTCTTGATTTTTGGTACGTAGATGTAGCTTTTGTCGAGTAGATGAACTTTAGTTCTTGGCTCGAAGGATTTCAACTAAAGGTTGGCCCTAGATCGCAAAAAGAAGAAGAAGAAGAAGAAAAAACCCTTGATTTTCTCTCTATTCTTCCCTCTCTCCCTACAAAAAAAATTCAGCAGCCCAATTTAGGGGAAAAATCTAATTTCCCCCCCCCCCCTTTTTATATCCCTTGGATACTTGGTCCACAACGTACCACACGTCCTGTCTTTTATTGATCTGATTTCTTCCCGAATCAATTAAAATCTCATCCCGTTTTAAGTTCAACATATTTTATTTGAAGTAAATTTAAATTATTTTTCACATTTCTCAATTAATTCCCAATCGTGGATATTTTTGGTCATGCGACACTCATTCGCTTCGTAAAACGCAAAAATTCGATTGTCTCGAAATTCAACGAAAATTGACTGAATAACTAGATTTTTCGAGACGAATCTGATGGTGAGGTCCGTTTAGTCATCCGAATACTAGAAAATTTTGGGTTTTCAACTCGTACCGTAGCGACTAATTACCGTTTGCCCTTTTTTCATAAAAATTCAAATATTTCCGAATTTTACGCTTCTGATCCCAAGTACCGGAGGTCTGGAAGATCCTTTTGTTCCAACTTTGCTTCAAGTCCTTCATTTCATTGTTTTCTAGAGGGTTTGCTTAGTCTTCCGGTGTTTACCTCCAGAATTTCAGAGGGCTTGTCTGAAATTTCAAAGAGTTTGTCCGATTATTCGTATGACCCCTCCACCTTCTCCCCTCCCTTGGCTTTCCTCATGACTCATCCGGACTTCTGGTAGGTGTCACCAAAAGTCCAAAGTGGACTTTTAGTGGGCATGTCTGAAATTCTAAAGACCCTTTTGCCTCCTATGTACTCCTACATACATTCACTTACTAATACAACCATTATCCTGTATTAGGATGTTTGTGATCATCAAAATCATGCATAGCGAAACATCGGGTTTACAAATAATACCAATACCACCAAATTGTTTTAATAATGAAGGTAACAGAAGAAAATGTGTCTTATTCATGTATTTGTATAGCATGACAATTTAATATCCTCCTAATACTTTTGTTGTGTTTCTAGACTTATGTTTATCCGATCCTACCTTTTTCCTAGATGGCGAAACCAGGGCTTCAAATGGGGAAGGGCTAACAAAGAGTGCATCTAGGAACTGTATACGATTGAGAGTACCTACAATGAGAAGATCTATATTTTAAGGGGCATGAAAATTCACACAAGAAAAAAAGTAATGGGTAAAAACACAATTTTATCACTGATATTTCCAGATAAAATATAATTGTACTAATTCAAAAACTCATTGGTGAAGTTATTATGGTTTCATTTTTTTTTTTTTCAACTTAAGAAATATAAATCATACGCCGTATAAAATATGCTCTGTAAACATATTACACTGCTCTGATACCTTATAGCATAATTTTTCGGACCGAGCAGGAAACATCAACCTATGTGGTAAGCCTCTCAGCCTCTGCAAATCCTCCAAGAAGCAGTCAGTGCCAAAATTTGCCATAATTGCAGTTGTTGTGGGAGTAGTTGCATTAGCTGCCATTATTGTATCTTCCTTCATCCTCAGACGCAACCGCCAAGCACCAAAAAACAAATTCGGATATTCTTTGGGGGCAAAAGTACACAAGAAAGATGCGGCTTATAAGACTGCAGGTAATGGGTTAGACATTGGTACAGAAAAGTAATTTTTCCATGCTTAAAATCAAAATTTTATTTGAGTGCATATTTTTTGTCAACTTAGAAACAAACGCATTTCAAAAATGTCTATGAAACATCAAGAAAAATTCATAAAAAATAAAAATAAAATAAAATAAAAAAGAGAAACTTTGAAAATTTGCATCTGAATATTAATTTTTAATTAACAAAAAACTTCAAAAAATTCTAAAATACTTTAAAATATAAAATTTTCAATATTTAATCTCTTGTTGATTTATATTTTGATTTTTTTGGGTAGAAATAAAACAAAATCTTGTTTGTGGTTGGTATCTTATCTCCATTTTGTACCCAATTAAAACATAACTTATTGCTTGAAAATCTTACCCAAAAACTAATTGATTGAAGATTAATGTTTTTTGTATTACCAAACAAATTATTTTTTGGCGTCATAACTTTGGCGGCAGGTAAAAAGGAGGTTGAGCATACTGACAACTATAAAAGAAGTGAGCATGGGAAGTTATACTTTGTAAGGAATGATAGGGAGAGATTTGAGTTGGAAGACCTGCTCAGAGCCTCTGCTCAAGTTTTGGGTAGTGGGAACTTCGGGTCTTCTTACAAGGCAGTGCTTTTAAGTGGACCAGCTATGGTTGTGAAGAGGTTTAGGAAAATGAGCGACGTGGGAAGAGAAGAATTCCAGGAGCACATGAGAAGGCTAGGAAGGTTGTCACACCCTAACTTGCTGCCACTTGTGGCTTTTTACTACAGAAAAGAGGAAAAGCTTTTGGTCACTGACTTTGTTGAGAATGGTAGCTTGGCTAGTCATCTCCACAGTAAGTTATTCTTCAAAAGACAGTATTTACCTTTCTGGATTTCATTCCAATATATTTTCATGCTAAGAATTAAAGACGAAAAAAAGCCGACTAATTTATATACCATTTTTAGTCGATCACATTCAAGTGAACATATCAGACCAATCAAACGAGTAAATAGAGAATAAAATTCATAGCCATGAGCTGGTAATGATATGTTTCACAGCACCTTCTTGTGCATCAATTATATTTTGATCTCTTCAACTATGCTTTATGTTTCATATTATTTCTTTGATTATCACATTTCTTATATACTGCAACTCCAAAGATTTATGATTTCACATTGCTCCCATGTTTCTCACAGTATACCTCTACATATGATTATTGATTTCACATTGTCCTTATTATAGATGTTTAAAGAGTAATGTTAGATGAACTTAAAAATTAGATTTAAAAACTATACTTAATAATCTCAACCATTGAATAGGTAGTGTGTTTCAATAAATATTGGGACCCACAGTAAAATCAATGATTGTAATTATCATGTCTGAATTTTAAGTCTACTTTTTAAGTTCATGTAGTATTACTCATGTTTAAAGCATGCATTTTATTCCACATTTGAACATTTTGTTCCAATTATATTAGATATTTGATTTTTGATTAACATGAAATCGGTTCAAGTAATTGAAGGGTGAAATGAGAAACTCAATAGTTGAGATGACAAAATGAGCTCAGCACCATGGTTTAAGCGATCAAAGTGTAATTTGCCCTCGATAATTCTTCCTTGAGTGGGTTGTGAAACTTTTTTGTCTTATTTATATTCACATATCAGGCAAACGCAGTCCTAACCAGCCCGGACTTGATTGGCCAACTCGCTTAAAAATCATCAAAGGAGTAGCCAAAGGCTTGGTTTACCTATACAAGGGATTCCCTAGCCTAACTTTACCACATGGCAACTTGAAGTCTTCAAATGTGCTTCTAGATGACACATTCGAACCCCTCCTAGCAGACTATGGACTAGTTCCAGTGATCAACAAAGAACATGCTCAAGAGGTTATGGTGGCCTATAAGTCCCCGGATTTCACTCAACACGACCAAACGTCGAGGAAAACCGATGTGTGGAGCCTCGGTATTTTAATACTCGAGATGCTAACTGGAAAGTTCCCGGCTAATTATTTGAAACAAGGCAAGGGTGCGAATGCCGATTTGGCTGCTTGGGTGAACTCGGTTGTGAGAGAAGAGTGGACTGGGGAGGTGTTTGATAAAGACATGAAGGGGACAAACAATGGGCAAGGTGAAATGCTTAAGCTCTTGAAGATAGGGATGTGTTGTTGCGAATGGAGTGTGGAGAGAAGGTGGGATTTGAGGGAGGCTGTGGAGAAAATTAAAGAATTGAAAGAAATGGACAGTGATGAAGACTATTCTTATGCAAGCGAAGGAGACATTTACTCTTCTAGAGCAATGACTGAGGATGACTTCTCTTTCTCTGTGGTTAGTTGACTTTGGTTTAAACTTTTTTAATATATAAAGTTTGAAGGATTTCTGTATTGAGTGGTGCTTACAAACGAAGGTGACAATTTTATGTTGGTTTCCTTCTGCTTCATGGTTGGGACATAAATTTTGAGTTTTATTTTTTATATGCTGTTTGTGGTGTAAGACGATATGTGTACTTGATGTTGATATTTTATGTTAAACTCTTCACATATGCTTGTAGTTTAAAAAAATTCTTTATTCACTTGTTTAATTTTTGTGTATATCAAAGCACATTGCCATACTATCAACAACAGATATGACATTTTGAACAGTACTGCAAACTAAAAAAGTTTTTTAATATTCTGACTTATGATGTGATAAATAGAGTGTTCCCACTAAATCGTTATTGTGTCATGTCAACTACTAGTCATAACCCGTGCCTGAAGGCACGATAAAATATAAAATTCAAAAGTTCAAAAAATCGATTCCATTATATTAATTATTTTTAAAAATATTAACTATAAATTAATTAAATATTAAATGATTAAATATATGATAGAAATGAGTGATGTGATATTTTTAGGGAAGAAATATATAAATGATTAAACATATGACATAAATAAGTGATGCGATATGACGTTTGAGTCTGACAAAGGAATGATGGATGAGATAAGTGATTGATGATAATTTTGAGGGGAAAAATATGACTGGGATAAAATTCAAACACACTCCTATTTTATTATATAGATTGCAGTAGTAATTAATTCAATATTTTAGGTCAGATTTTTAATTCACAACAATGGTACTCAATTGAAAGTATGTCGTGAATGCTATAAAACAAAAGCATTTTGGCAACTCTAAGCAGGTTGACCACATAAAATTTTTGGGAGGATGTATCATATAAACATAATCCTTATTGCAATTTGTGACACAAAATATGCAATTACAAAATTTAGTAATATATAAAATATCTGACAAGATTACCTATTAGGAATAAACTATTAAAATGATCAAAACTAGTGTTTGATACTATACCTTTAAAACAAATTTTGCCTCTACACTGGTGTTCATGATTGTTGAGTATCTATTTTTCAGGATACAATGATCAAAACAAACATATATAACACTATAATCTATATGCACAGCGAACTAGAACTGTGTTTTGTACTCTCCGATACAAAACACTCTAATGATGTATGTAATGAGCTTATTAATGATAAATTTTGTAAGTACTGAACGATAATAAATCTAGATTATTTATAGATGTAGAGTACCTGCTCAGAATAGTCACCACCGATCAAATACAACCTAGAAAGGCACCAGAGATGCCAAGTGATGAACAACCATGAAACAATTAAAATTCAGATTAGTGAAAAATTCAAATTTGAACCACTACAAATTTAGAATTTCAATAAGGAGAAAAATTAAATACGTGTAAAAATTAATCATCCAATTGGCAAATGAATTTAAAGGATGGCCCACACCCGTACTTGACTTCGACCGGGATAGGTGGCGCAGGTGCATGTGGTTGAACTCTAGTCCATCTAAGTCATCTTCTGTCCACAAAAAGTGGGGTGTCCCTTGGGGTTTAACCTTTAGAACAAATATATGTTTTTTTGTATAGAATTTTTGTCAAACCAATGTGAGATAGTTGTTAAATCTCATATGTCCCAACCTCTAATTTTTATATTTAAAGTTGGTTACTTTTTAGTCTTATCTTCTTTTTCAACTTTTGCTCGTTTTGAGCAAAAAAAATATACTAAGCTAATATATTCACAGAGTAGAACACGAACCCCAAAAAATTTACTCAAAATGATAAGTGGGTCTCATTTTAATTTAGGCTAAAATTTGAAAAGGAAAAAAAAATCAGATTTTTGGCTTACAAAAAACTGTTTTTGTCCAATAATAACATGGGTGAAAGTTGCGAAAAAGGTTATTTCTAGAAATGTTATATCTCGCTCCTTTGTATTCGTTCAACTGTTATAGTTATCAGATATGAATATTATATACCATTCCACAAAGTAATTGAAAGACCTTTGTCCAATTATGATGCGTATCTGAAATTCATGGTTTATGCTGGTGATCTTATACCCATCTTATCTGGATATTCTAAAAATGAATGAAAATTCAAAAATCAAGCTCCTTCCTAAAATTCAGCTCATTCTTACTTCAAAATCTCTTCGTCACTTCAAACTCTTTATTATAATTCACTTTATTCCTAAAAGCGTATAGGTAATAGATATTGATTTTTGTATTAAATTATCGATAATAATCAAATAATAAATATGAGATTATAAAATAATAAATATGAGATTATCATTGTGATAGAAACCCAAGTGTTCCTTTATTGGGAAGGAGACAAATTTTCAAATAAGATTACTATCTTACAAACAAAGCCTAATAGAAAACCTATTCTTCTTATTATTTTTTTGAACTGGGTAATAAATTTATCAAAAACCGTTTTTAGCAGAGCATCAAGATCAATTGCAAACTACAAATCTCAATAGCTGAAAAAGCGAAATTGATCGTAAATAACTTCATGTCCAAATTGTAACCCGCTAAATCTCATTATGCTTGAAAAAAAAGAGCAATAATGAAACACAGCCTTTCCATTGATCCCCACAGGAGTGGCTCAAGCCAATTTATAGCCTAAAGTAGAAACATTAAATGAATGTCTTTTTATTTTTAGTATTATTTTTTTAAAAAAATTAATTTATTTTTAATTTTTTTAANATAGCCTAAAGTAGAAACATTAAATGAATGTCTTTTTATTTTTAGTATTATTTTTTTTTAAAAATTAATTTATTTTTAATTTTTTATGTTAGAGGAAGACAAAAGAAAGATGTGTTAATATTGTCGAGAAAGAGATTTCAACTTTTGTTTTTACTTTTTTATCACAAAGAGGGAGAGAGGTTATTTAATTTCAATTTTTATTTTTTTTATTTTTATTTTTTTCACAGGAGAGAAAGAGAGAGAGAGAGTATGTGGGAATAAATATGAGTTGATTTTTGAATATTTTTTTAATTTTTTTAATTTCTAAGTTTGTAATGATATTGTAACGCTCCCAAAACCACCTTGGACGACATCACAATCTAAATCATTCACATCATGAGAGCAACTAAATAAATCTATCATTAAAGAACATTTCATTCAACAAATATAGTATTTACAATATCATCCTAAAAGAATAGGTCAACCATAGCCATCATATCCAAAAAAATATGTCAGGCTATGACAATTGAATCCCAAAAAAATCAAATTTAACTTGCAGCGGAATTACAAAAGGATTGACTTTACATAGTCTCAAAATAAATTCTCTAGTCCAGAACAAAAGAGAATATAACTCTAGACGTCCATCTCGGGATCCATGTTCCCCTCTATAGGAGGTTTCCAATGTGTTTGTTCATCTACTCCTAACTTCTCCTCTAGTACATAATCTGAAAAATATATTGTTTGTAAGGGGTGAGTACTAAGCTCTGTAGCAACATTCTCCCAAACTCATACAAGGTTTAGAAAACATGCAAAACAGTCGGTCTTATTTTACAAATATCATATACATAGTTTTGGAGGGAATACAGGGACAATTTGATCACAAATTTATACAATAGCAATACTTTAAATGAAAGGAATAAACAAGTGAAGAAGTCAATTAATGAAAGGAATAAACAAGTGAAGAAGTCAATTTAATCATGCAATAGCAACATCTCCTAATCTCATGTATGTTGGTTGCTTCACATGAATCTACACCCGGATTCTACCTCGTTCACCCACCATAATTACAGAATCTCAAATATTTTAGGAAGGACGTATATCGTCTCTCACGGCATTGACGAATCCTTCCCAAGAAAGGTATACCAACTCTCAGTCTCGAACTTACGTGAACAATAGTGGTTGCTCTCACAAACAACAATCCACTATAAGTGTTGGTCAACCATCTCACCTCCACTGAGATAGACTAACCTCTAACACTCTATGGCAATGCTCGATTGTAATTTAAGTTCATCACAACAACCATACAAGAGATGCAATAACAATCGTTTTCTCAAATCATAAGTAAATTCAAAATTCTCAAATTTCACAGCTTGCATTAAAAGAGCACAATTTTAAAAAATAAGCAAGAGATTATCACAAATACCATTTGTTGTTTAATACAAAGCATTAGAGTTTTGAAATAAAAAACAATTGAACATTAAGAAGAAAAATTTATTTTTCTCAAAAACTAGGGTTTTCATGGTGATACTTGTAGGAACTTCAAGAAACAAGTATTTCATAACATATATCTAAGATTTAGAAGCAAAACATATATATATATATATAAAACCCAGCCTCAATGGACAAGAATGGAAAAAACCCCTACCTTGATGTTCTTGAAGAAATCTAGGGCTTTAATTCAATCTAAAGTGTAAAGCCCATTTGATCTTGTGTTTTTTCCTCTCTTTCTTCATCTCTAAGGTTTTTTAGGGTTAAAAGTGTTGAAATGGGCTAAATGGGACATCTTTATATATTTATAGTGGAAGGAGGGCCGACTGTTCACGACTTAAAAATTTTTGAAATCTGTCGGCCGTATCGGTACTGGACTGCGCCGTACCGGTACAGTCTGGCTACTAATCTTCGGCGTACCGGTACGCTTTTGCTGAATCTACCTGTTTCCTCTACTTTTCACTTCTAATCCATTTATAATCCTTCCAAGGCCATCCCAAAACTTATACAACATACATTTGCACATCAAACATGGTTGGTACAGCTTCTATTACAAACGATTTCATATATTTATCCGGGATTCCACAATATCATTATTTCTACGGTTATAACCCATATGATTCATTCCTACGCCATTACATATATTAAAATTTTTACACAATTTATTATGATATTACTATAAACATGTGGGGCTTTATAATCCACCCCCCTTAAAGAAAGTTTCGTCCTCGAAACTTACCTCAAGTAACGAATAAATAAGGGTACTTCTCTCGCATCTCTAGCTTCGGTTCCTAAGTAGCTTCTTCCACCCCATGATGTTGCCACAA